GATCCAAGAAACGCAACACCGGAAAAAACAGCAGGCTCCTCCATTGCTAGCCAAACCAGACAACTAGTAATCCATACAAGTACAAATGATATTCCACATAAGACAACTGACGGGCCTACCAACCTAGATAATTTGCAAATGGATCTTGACCAAACAGTTGTTCCCCTCACAGTAACTCATCCAACACAAGACAAGAAGCCACAAACAAGCCAGCATCAAACCACAAAAGTCAAAACTTGGAGAAGGATGGAACTAAAAGAAGGAAGTCTGCAACAGAACACTGCCTCCCAATCACAACAGGGTACAACCAGCTCAAAGAGAATGAGAGAAGACCAAACACCCATTGGTACTCCTGTTTCTCACACCTGCTTAACACTTGATCAAAAGAGCAAAAAACAAAAATGTCTTATTGATAAGGAGATGAGGGCCAGCCTTAAAGAGCCCTCACCAACACCATGAATGCTCTGGTGTGGAACTGTAGAGGTCTGGGTGGGCCCTCTACAGTTCCCCAGATCAAGGAATCCATCAGGATCCACCACCCTTCGTTTATTTTTCTTTCAGAAATTAAAAAAACAAAAAACTTTGTCCAAAAGATGTGTCACAAATTGGGTTTTGAAAATAGCCATTTTATTGTTCCTCCAATGGGAACCAGAGGTGGACTGTTACTTCTCTGGGATATAGAAATTGATATTATTCAAATTCAGTCCCAACCATTCTTCATATCAGTTAACTACATGGATAAGCAGCTTAACTTACCATGTTGGGCTACTTTTGTTTATCTTAGCCCATACAGAATTGATAGGGAAGCACAGTGGGAGTTGCTGCAACAGGAGAAAAGCAAATGGGGGTCATTGTGGTATATAGCTGGAGACTGGAATGACCTATGCAAGCCGGAGGACAAACAAGGTGGCAAAACACGATCTATAAGGAGTTGCTGGGGTTTCAACACTTTTCTATCCAATATGGGAGTGCAGGAAATTCCTCACAGAGGCCTTCAATTCACATGGGCCAATAACAGAGCAGGAGAGGGTTTTGTAGAAGAACTATTGGACAGAATGTTTGTTTCATTAGAATGGCTGAAATATTTTCCCAATACCCAAGTGACAAACTGGTTCCGAAGCGCATCGGATCATTGCATGCTGATCATTCAAATCAAAGAACCGATTACCAGAACCAAGAAACGTTTCCAGTTTGATAAACGTTGGATTCACAAGGAAGGAATCAAAGAGGAAGTAACATCAGCCTGGGGGGAAACACAATCGGGTACTCCTATGTACATAATCAAGGAGAAGATTAAAAAAACCAGACAGGCTCTTCTTAAATGGAGCAGATATTTCAATAAAGACCATGTCAACAAAATTAATAGTCTGACATTGCAGTTAGAGGAATTGAGGCAGGCAGGTGGAGATAGACACTGGGAAACTTGGGACAGAATTCAAAAGGAGCTTGATGAAGCTAATCTTTCTGAAGAAATTTACTGGCAACAGAAAGCAAGAACCCTTTGGTTTAAAGAGGGAGACAAAAATTCGAAATTCTTCCATGCCTATGCTGCCCAAAGAAGGAAAATGAATTCCATTGTGAGACTCATTTCAGATGGGAACAGAGTTGTAGAACACCCCATGGAAATAGAGCGGATAGTAGAATGCCATTATAAAAACCTCTTCACCTCTGCTGGTTCCAGTCAAGGACATGAGCTGCTTCCCCTGATTCAAAGAACAGTCACTGATGAGATGAACATTTCACTTACAGCTCCAGTAGAAGATGAAGATATTAAAAATGCGGTATTTTCTATTCACCCTGATAAAGCTCCTGGGGAGGATGGCATGGCCGGGCTATTTTTCCAGCATTTTTGGCCAATCATTGGAGATGACATTTGCTATGCAGTCAAGAGTTTCTTCTCTTCAGGCCAATTATTAAGGTATTGGAAGCATACTCTTATTACTTTAATTCCCAAATGCAGTAATCCCACAACTATTAATCATTACAGGCCTATTAGCTTATGTGCAGTGTTTTACAAAATTATCTCAACAATCTTGGCATCAAGGATTAGGCTATGTTTGAATGACTGCATTTCTGAAAATCAAGCAGCTTTCTTACCTGGTAGACAATTGCTTGACAATGTAATATTGGGGCATGAAGTTTTTCACTTTCTTAACAGACATAGATCCGGGAATAATTGTTTTATGGCTCTGAAATTGGACATGGCTAAGGCCTTTGATTGCTTGGAATGGAAATCTATTCAATTAACAATGATCAGAATGGGGTTCTCTTCCTTGTTTGTTAAATGGATAATGGCCTGTATAAAATTCCCCACATACTCATTTAATTTTAATGGTCAAGCTAAGGGTTTTGTCACAGCTTCAAGGGGCATAAGGCAGGGGGACCCTTTATCCCCTTATCTGTTTATTATAATTTCTGAACTACTATCTGCTAAAATATGTGCTGAGGCTGAAAGAGGAAATTATAAAGGTATCAGAATATCTAGAGGAGGTCCTCTGCTCACTCACCTGTTATTTGCAGATGACACTTTACTCTTTTGCAAAGCTGATGATTATCAGGCTCAGAAAATTATATCCATTCTGCACTATTATAAGTGTTTTACAGGACAAAATGTCAACTGGGCTAAGTCATCTATTTTTTTCAGTAGAAATACTCCAAAAGATGTACAGGTCAGATGCTGCCAAATACTAGATGGGATCCAAATTCACACCTCAACCAGATATCTTGGTCTTCCACTAGGCATCGGCAAGTCCAAAAGGGAGTCATTTGATTACATACTCAATGTGGTGAAAAAAAGAATTTGCAGTTGGAAAAATAAATGGTTATCTACAGCAGGTAAAGAAATTTTAATAAAGGCTGTTTTAAATGCATTACCCATTTTTGCAATGTCCTGTTTTGTGTTGCCAGTGGGATTGTGCAAAGAAATAGCCAAGCTTTGTAGTCGTTTCTGGTGGAGCACAAGTTCAGATCAACAAAAAGGGATTCATTGGGTTTCATGGGAAAAGTTAACCTTACACAAGAAGTATGGAGGCTTAGGCTTTCAGGATATTCAGTTGTTCAATGTCGCACTCATTGCCAAACAAATCTGGAGGCTAGTCACACAACCCGATTTACTGAAAGAAATCAGAAATGGCAGCAACACTAAAATATGGGAACAACACTGGATACCAAACAGCATTGGCAAGCCTGTGCCACTTCTAGAAGGCATTGACAGAAGACTAACTTGGGTAAGAGACTTAATGACCTTAGATGGCTGCAGCTGGGATGAACACAAAGTGAGAAACACTTTCCCACCAGATATTTGTGATTCAATTCTCGGCATCAGCACTATCAATCCTAACCACCCAGACAGATGGATTTGGAATCTTAATCAGAAAGAATCCATAGAGCATACTCTTTTTCATTGTGATCAAGCACAAAAGGTTTGGAAAATTGCCCCTATCAAATGGGATGGTCTAAAGCAAAATGAATCATTCAGAAATTGGTGGTGGCAAGTCTGTCAGCTAGATAAGAGTGATACATCAGAGGCAAGGCTACAATTATCTACATATATACTCTGGTGGCTATGGAAATGTCGAAATCTGTGGGTGTTTGAGAAAATCAAAAGGCCGGCTCATTCCATAGTTCATGCAGCTCTTCAGGATTGGATAGCTTACACAGATGCACATGGAAGCAGGCCTTATATCCCTAGTTAATGCTGGGTTTTTTTCAGGTTGTAGTCAGCTAGTGCTTGTTATTTTCCTAGTTAGCGTTTATATCAGGGGTAAGGGTCTCAGTTGTTTTTCACTGCCTTCCCTCTGAGTCTTTTCTTTTGGCGTTTGTAACCAGTTTTCTAGACCACTTTCTAGTGGTTCTCCCAGTAGCCGGCTTGTTTATTTTATATTGTGTATTCTGTTGTAAGAACAGGGTGTATTATTTGTTTAAATTAATGAGATATCTGACGTTGGACAAA